CCACCGGGAATTTAGCATGCCGCTATTAAATTTCCGTATCTGTTCACGTTTCTTTATGAGTAGTCTCGCTACCTAAGATCCCTCACCAGAAATGTTAATTATTCCAATTTTTTAGTTCATGCATCGTGCCCTCACAGAATGCACGCCATCGACGCTCTTGGCGAAACCTTCTGTATTCGCCATATACTAGTAGTTTGGTCGCATCTCCCTTCCCCCATCCTCGGTTGGACTCGGATGAATGTAATCGACCGCATCTGGGTTCCTATCGCCTCGAGACTGATCTTCATGATGCCCTCACTGAATGCGCTTCATCGATGCTCTTGGCGAAGCCTTCTATATTAGCCATATACTAGTAATCTGGTCGCATCTCCTTTGCCCTATCCTCGGATGGACTCTGATGAATGTAACAGACCGCATCTGGGGCCTTTTCGCCTCGAGACTGGTTGTCATCGTGCCCTTACAGAATGCGCTCCATCGGCGATCTTGACAAAGCCGTCTGTATTCGCCATATACCAGTAGTTTGGTCGCATCTCCCTTCCCCCCATGTTCGGATGGACTCGGTTGAATGAAACCGACCGTATCTGGGTTCTTGTCGCCTCGAGACTGGTTGTCATCATGCCCTTACAGAATGCGCTCCGTCGGCGGTCTTGTCCAAGCCTTCTATATTCGCCATATACTAGTAGTCTGGTCGCATCTCCCCCCATGTTCGGATGGACTCGATTGAATGAAACTGACCGCATCTGGGTTCCTATCGGCTTGAGACTGGTTTTCAATTTCGGCACTTATTTTTCTTATCAAGGCGATACAGGCCAGTCCTGACCGACCCGCCTACGTACCATTTTATGAAATCCGTTACACAATGCCATATACAGCTGACATCTATTTCGGCCATGTTGATGTCGGGCTTTATTCCATTTTGTACCGCCACATGCAGGCCAGTCCTCCCTTTTTTTCTGATGCTATTTTTCTGAGGGGTTTTTTTTTCTCCTGTTAAATTACTACAATCATTTTTAAATCTTGCTTTGGAGTTTTTTTTTTCACCCCTCGTTTTTTCTTTTTCTTTTTCATTTTCATTTTGCTTAACGGACTTCTAATCTCAAAAACTATGCATTGCACTTTGTGCAGATTTTGCCTACATCGTCTAAAATTTGCATGTAAATTTATTTTTACTTGCTTTGATGGGACCCCGACGGGTCTTTAATAAAATAATTGAATTGAAAATAATTGAATTGAATTAATTGAATTGAAGGCGAAGGTGCACAATTTCGTCGACTGTCACAATCTAGAAAGTGGTCCGGTCCGACTGGTATCTCTTTTGTAGTCAGTAGCAAAGCCTTTGAAAGTCGTTTCTGCTTGTCCATGCATGGATTCGAATTAAATTTCTGATAATAACTGCATTTAATGCCTATTCACAGGCATTGCCCAAAAATGGTGTTCATGGAGGTGTTGTATCAGTGACCAGTATTTCGGTTCGGTTTGGATTTGGTGCTACTGTCCTTAGTTTAAGTTCGCCATGCAGAGAGAAAGCAAGTGCTTCTTGAATGACTGCAGCAACGTCGCTTTCGCGGCTGTTTCAGGGATATTGTGCCAAGGTGCCAGACTAACGGTTTTCTAGTAGTCCGAGCACTTTTCTTTGATCGTGCCGTCTGCTTTAACGCAACCGGAAGCAACGCTGAAGGTGAGACACGCATCGTACTTGCGCTTAGATATCAGATAGTTAGACACTTTAATATTGATTTTGCCCACCTACTAGTTTTTCTTACTGTGGTTCTTGGTCACCCTGATGCATATGATTACGCCTCGTAACGTTTAGGCTGCTAATCCTGAATACCATATTATCAACGGTGGTGACCTCCGATGTTCCCATCAACTTTACTTCTTTTTCCGCTGGCCCACTGATTTCCATGGACATTATTAATTTTGTTGTACACCTTTTCCATGACCCCCATTCTTTGCGCATCTCGATCTTCCTGTCACCCGTATCCGGCTCACAATGCCTTGCTCCAACCAATTCCCCGGCGCTTCCATCCAATTTTTTAATGCCGTCGCCTCCATCTTACCAGAATTCTGACAACATGCGTCTGGACCCCACTTCATTCTCATGGGGTCTTTTTCCTTGGTAAACGTTACCAATGGGTTGGCGAAATACCGCCAACATGTGGGGGTTCTCTTCGCTAATATTATCTCCCAAGTTCAATCTTTTTGATGAAATCCTCCGGCAGAGGCTCTACCTTCTAAGCTGGGGGTGGAGATCCTCCGCCTTAATGTCGTTTTTGGCCAACAGCGTTATCGCCGGTCAATCAAGAAGAAATCACTTGGTGACCGGAAACCCGCAGAGCTTCTCTGTCGCATGCGTCTCCTACTCGGAGACATGCAGAGTGATGAGGAACTTGTCGATTTCTAGAGCGTCTGCCAGCTAATGTTTACACAGTCCTGGCACTCGGTTCTGAGAATCTCTCTGTCTCACGGCCAGCGAAGATGACGGACCGGATGGTGGAAGTGCAGCGGTTCCGGCCATCCTCCGTCATCCAGTTCTCCCCTTCATCTATGCAGGCGCCGAACGGTCAAAT